GTACTGCAATGTGAGACTGCGGTATGACTCCAACAGCTGGGTGTAAGCGTGTATTCTCATCTCCCTGATATAGTATCTACAGTGTGGATAGAGCAAGCGATCTTGTTTGAGAAAATCTTCTACTTGTGCTGCGTAGAGAGAAAATACATCATTATCATTATTGATCTTTATCTGTACACCATAAGATTTGCCTGTAAGTATGCAAGCTATTGTGACACGATCAAAATACTATTTGGCTGACTACAATTTAGGCGAGATTAAACACCAGGCAATGTTTGCTGGTGGACCTCATCACCAATCATACTATAAGTAGGGTGGTCTTGGGCTTTAGCAACTTTACAGTGCTTTTGCTAGGGTCAATTACTTCGCTCACATTGCTTTCACGCGCAGTACATGTAGCTTTAGCCTCCTTTGCTCCCAGCCCTTCCTTCCCTTTGGATGTTTTTCGGTAAGTATCTGCACATTTTTCTCCACTGAGGTTCTCAGAGTGAGGGTGCCTGGTGGGTGCTACTCAAATGGTTGTCATGGTCACTGTCCTGGCTCGCTTGTGGCTCCCTTCAGGTTTACAAGGCACCTTCCTCATGGTTTTAACTTATTTTTATAGAGGGAATTAAAAAAAGTGGAGCTTTCCTACCCAAGGCTACAAAGAAATCAGCATAGTGGCAGTTGTATAGGGACGTCAGGAATTGGTTTACAACTGGCAACTGATGAAGAACCTCTAATATTTCAGCACCATTCACAACCTAAACATGGAAATATCTTTGTCATTTGCAAAGTAGAAAGTGGTTTTAATACCACACATCAACAACTAACTTTATTAAACTATTAAACTACATACTTTTGTAAAAAACTGGTACAGATGAGAAACAAGATTTCATTGTACATGTATCTGTTCTTTGTACAGCAATGTAAGTTGTAATATGTTAAGTTCCATGTTGCTGCTAATAGCTCTTCTCTTTCTCTAAATAAAAGTAGCATCACAGTTGTAGTGCACAAAATGAACAGGGAGATCAGATCCTGTGTCAAGTGGTTGCTTGCAAGACGTTTAAAAGAATGGACAATTATTTAAACTGTCAGCCCAAAAATGGGGCCACAGTTGCGAGAGATTTATGAAAGGTTCCAACTGGAAGGTTTTGACTTGGAAATCTCTGGTGTTTTACTTATAGCAGACTTTATTGTGATAATACTGGAAATAAAGATTAAATTTCATAACTTCAGAATTGAGAAATAAATATATTTAGAAGCTGACTGGTAACCAACCTTTTGTCTTAGGTCAACCCTCTCTAGTGCAATCATACTTGCAAGTACAGTATACGTAACAAACGTCTTGTAATCCATCAGCTCATATGATGTGAAAGTTGATATACTGTCTAGGAAGTTATTAGCAGCAGATTTGAAGTCGCGGATGGATAAAAAGTAGATTCCCTGGTACACTTTAAGTCTGTTACGGCGATCCCAGTCACCTCCTTCCTCTATAAGGCTGATAGAAAACAAGTTATACCTAAATATTTTCAATCATTTTAAACAACTATTTTAGCTAATCTAAGATACTGGTACAAGTTAATATTAGCCAAAAGTGACAAATATGGTGATCTTATCATCTTGTAAGTTATTGTGTGCAAATAAATCTCATGAACTACAATCTTATAATCATTTATATGTACTTTGGTTATGTAAAAAAATGTTATTATAAACAGTTTAAAACGGAGGGATTAAAGATAAAATTGTCCATACATTTGATACTAACAGCCTCCGAGTTAAGATGATTTTCTTTAGTCAAGTCAGAAACCGTACGACAGTCTGTACTTACGTCTTGGCTTTATCTATGTTCCGTGTGATAAGGTCATTGTCAAGGTAAAACAAGCCAATGCGAATTTGATAAAATATGATATCCAGCTTGTAACCAAGGGCTACTGCTTTCTCATATGCGAGGCGGAACACAGTCAGAGCTTTTTCCTGGAAATGGAAAAAAAATACATTTTTAAAATATATAAAAATAATCATCACTGACAACAGAGTAATAAAACCCTTAAGGCATTAACTCATCTCATTAATGATGACGAGACCCCCAAGTAGTAATCATAAGGGGTTTTTATCCTACTAACAGAAACAAAATCAAAGCTATTATTGGTACAAACCTTATCCCCAATCTGACAGAGATATTCTGCCTTAGCATACAATGCATCTCTGATTTCTGTCTCTCCTAAATTTTCCTCGGCATCTTTGAGGGTTTCATCAAGCTTTTTGAACTTCTCTTCATTGTTTGCCTGCATCTTTGCCAGAAAAGGTTTATCAACAGGCCATTTAAGCTCTGTGCAAAGCTCTTCATAGAGTGGTGCCATGTCTACATTAAGGATATGCACAAAAATCAAGTTATTGATATTAGCCAAGGAAGAGTTAGTTTGTATTTAACATAGCGGCTTTAAATTCCAGGAAAGAAGGGGGAAGCCATCAAAATTTATTGTTGTGCTCTGACATTGAACAGGGATACCAGTTGTGACCTCCCTGTGATCTACAGGGACGTTTTGTCACGTGATTCACAGATCACACACATGTACATGTCACAAACAGTGAACTCCACCACCATTTTTTGTCTCCCCGATTACTTTCAGCACTTGTGCTAAGCTAGAAGCTTGAGATTTAAATAAAGTTATTATTATTATTTATAAAGATTCAGTGATGGAATTTGAAACCTCTCTGTAAAATTATGTTAATGATGATGGCAAGGACTATAGAAAATGGAGACCCACATCTGAGTTGTAATTTGACATCTGAAGATCTACAGCTGTACAGAACTTTTTTTCCGTAATTATTCATAATAATAGTCCATTACTAATTGGCCTCAATCTCTCAGCTTATTTTTCATCATGTACTAATGCACCGACCAAATTACAAAGTTTTACATCAGTTCTCCAATGACAGAAAATTATTGGATGAGTGACATTATTATTTTATCACCCACCAAGTGCCTATCCACACTAGCGAAAAAGCTGTATATTTAGACAAATTTCGGTCATCAACACGATTAACAAATTAAATGCAGATAGTTTGTCGCAATTTTACAAATTTTGTCCCAAACAGGAAAATTTGCCAAGGACAAAAATTGTCCAGGGTAAAAACTGGACAAAATCGACTAAGTAAACAAAAATGTATTTTTTTTTGGTCAATCATTTGTTGTAAAGCCATCATTCTTTTTTTATTAAGTAATCACAGATGCGATGGCCTCTTAAGAGTTTTCAGCACGGGGAATTTTTTTCAAAATAAAAGTTGTCACAACATAATCTTTGGCTTTGATGTTTCAAAGACAGTTCTAAATTAATTGTCTGCTAGGCGGATAGGCCCTAACTGAAAAGTTATTGGAGTCGAGTGATGTCAGCAAGACAATGCATGGCAAAGTTCAGTTGTTTTATAGTGTAGATGACATATCCTCGATGTAGTGCTTCAGTGAGTGCACAAGCGTCAGAGCTACTATAATTATTTCCTGAAATTAGTCAGATCCCATGAGGGAAAAATTTTGTGAGCTTAGTCACTACACATAATGCTTGCATTGGATAGACCTGTTATAATCAATTAATAAAAAAAAAAAATCTTTATTTCCTTGGTAACTTCCTTGATTGCCTAGACGCCTAACAAATAAACAGAAACAAAATTTCTTACTGCCATGACATCGAAGTGTTCATTCAACATGTGATCGAGTGATCGAGATGACAAAGCACAAAACAATGGACTATTGCATTTAAAATCCGTACCCCACGGTTGAGGACATACCTTTTCTTCTTACCCCGTAAGATTGCCTAAAACTGCATACTCTACCCCTAAAGAAATCCTCAATTTTTATAACTTACCCCTGGAGAATTCCATGGTTCCTCAACCGGGGGGTTGCGGATATTAAATGCAATATTAAATGCCCAATCGTGACATACCGTTCTCTTTGATGGCGTCCATAAGCCGTTTCTTTGCATCTTCCTTATGTTTTCCTTCTGGATTGTTAAGGGTGAAACGCCAAGCTGTTAATTCAAGGTTAGGATTTTTAGGCAAACCTTCATCTTCGAGATTTTCGACCGGCATTTTAACTTTAAATCAGAAGGATTTATCTCGTTTTTCGTCTGCCTTAACGTAGGCTTAGTAACCTGGCCTTTGGTCCTTGGTGGCCTGGCATTTGACAGGCCTCTTTGCGTTCCACAGGTTCCCCAAGTGTAACATGATTAAAATGGTGCAAAGACTCAAACGGCTGAAATTTGGGTGAGCAAGCTAAATAATTTGCATATTTTTGAGAAATTTTACATTTTTCAAGTCTATTTATTTAAGTTTCGTTTTCCATGTAAGGCAGCCTGCATGTAAGGCTACCTCAATCTCGTTCCCAGGGTTCTCTCCTACCCGCCCTCTCTTACTCCGTAGGGCGGGTAGGAGAGAACCCTGGGAACGAGGTTGAGGCTACCTGTGATGTTAGGCAAGCCCTTCATATTGATTGTACTAGCGTAATTTTTGGAATAGTTTGTCAATTAAAAGCATAATTTTCGTAAATTTTCCGAAAAAAAAAACAAAAACGAAAAAACAGCAATCCTAGCATAATTTGCACTTTTGGCTAGTTTTCCGGCAGAAATCGGTCATTTATTCATCATGCAAACAATTATTTTGGCCTGAGTTAGTGATACAGGTAAATTTAAGTAACAAAATCATTTTTTTTTGGCAGAAAAGAAAATTTTGACGTTTAATAACAAGTGATATCGTTGCTTTGGTAATTCTCAAGGTCTGAAAAAAATGCCACAACTTTAATTAATTGGAAAATTAGGAATCAAGAACCTTGGACTTTAAAATTCACAATTCGGCTCAAGAATCCGGAATCCAGTACCTGGAATCCATAGCGTGGAATCCTGAATCCAAGGGTGTCTTGGTTCCACATTACATACCTGCCAAGTCCCTAGGCCTCATTATTGTGCATACGGTAAGACGCCGTATAGGCTAGGGACTATTCTAGGGACTAGGCATGGGCGGGATGTAAAAATGTTCAGAATTTACTGTACTTTGATGTAGACTCGCAAACGGTCATCGTTCTTTCCTCAGAGCCACGCAAGACGAATGAATGAAGCCTTGTGACTCGTGGGTTCATTTCTTGCCCTCCACCAGCATAAATTCAAGGCCACCACAACCCGTTTATCTGGTCTAGGCCCGAAACTGTCAACAGATGTTAATAATTTTGAAATGAGCACTAATCCTGACAGTGATAGTGATAGAACGAGAGAAACAGACGAAAAATTAAGAAACGTACTTTATTTCTACTGTTGATACATAGAGTTGCTAAGATAATTGCATAGGAACTTTTTTTTCTAGCTATCTATTTTATTATGAAAGCAAGTGTCATTTGGAAATACATTTTTTTAAAATTGGCTCTGTCAATTATATATAAAAAACAAGGAAACGGACCAGTTTTTTGGTATTCTTTGAAAAAAAATTAATATGCAAATCATGTTGCTGTGAATGACAGCAAAAAGCCTCTTCGTCCGAAAGAAGCCGGCTACCAGCTATAGACTTTCTGTAGGTAGTGGAAAGCGGCGTGAAATTGAGAGCAGAACGAACAAAAAGAAAAAAAAGAAAGAAGAAGAGGAAGAAGGAAAAAACGGGACAAAAAAGTAATGAGAATGGAGGATTCTTCTAATCATGTTTCTGTTCTTTGCAAAGAATTTAACAACAGGTGTCCCTGTTGCCTACAACAATTTCACAATATTTCTGCGCTCGACAAGAAGACCTGTTTAGTCGTTATATTTGTACATCATTTCCCATCAAGCTAAAACCTGAGGCACTCTCAGAGACCTAGAGGCAGTCATTTGAGACATTCACAAATCTTGTCCCATGACCCTGGGAATGAGGTTAAGGGGTATAGCAAACACAAACCATCAGGCACTGCAAGAGCACAGCCTTGGATAAGATACAAATATCAATTAATTATTAATCATTATTATTGTCCTCTCGTCTCTCCTGGACTGCCATCTTGTCTGCTTCGTTCTTTTCTTACTTCGCGTCGCTACCCACTTTAGTACCAAGAACAGGGAACCACATTGTATGGAATTTCTCATTTTTTCATGGCTTAAAAAGATACTTCATACTCAGTGGTAAAATTATGTCACAGCATTCACGCATGTGCATCCATTCTACCAGGGTCAAGGAAGAGAACAAAAACAACACTTTGTGCTCATTCCTTATACATACACGTAAGTAAGTACTGCACATTTAAAAGCAAAATGTCTACTACATGTATAATATGAATGCATTTATACATTATATGCTGTTTAACATGATTTATTATCAAAGCAGTTTTACAAAAAATCCATTTTTACTCATTCCACACTGGATTTTAGCCTATGTTTTGGATGCTGCATTTGAATGCTTTTTTGATCTGTCTGCACCAAGAGAGAATTCATTTGTTCATCCAACCCTTAACCAACTATAATTGAAAACTCCATTTTCAGAAGAGCCTCAGGCTGTTAAAGAGATAACAAGGCTGTGTTCTAAGGGATATTGCAGGGATCCCTGTGCTCAGGACCTTTAAAATCCCAGGTGCCTATAACCTATGATTTCCATAAAAATACATGTGCTATGATTTTCTAGTTGCCCAGGAGCAAAATTAAGGTGCCAGGGGCCATCAGGTGCTGCTAGAGTACAGCCTTGTATATGATACAAATATTAATTAATCATTAATAATTATTATTATAATTGTTATAATTATTAAAATACTGTTCTCGAATTTAAAAAGTCAGCTATTGTCAGGACAATTAGTCCATTTTTTGTGAAAGTAAACATTTGCACATATGCAAAGCAAAACAGTTGTGAATGAGTTGAAGTAAATCATCTTTCTAAACTTGGGATCAACATCACCTTGTCTGTACCAATATATCTGGAAAGAAAAGAAAAGAGACCACTTGTCAAGAAGATGAATTTGGATTAGCAAGGAGGGCAAAATGCTGCATATGACTTTTCTGCTATAGGTATAAATAAAATAAATAAATAAATAAATAACTTTATTTCTATAGCGCTCTTATCCTATGTTCAAGGAGCTTTACAGTCATGTAAAAAACATTATTGATAAATATTTACAAATTTACAGCCATATCCTAATTATATTTATAATGAGTAAAAAAAAGGAAAAAANAATTTTTTTTTTTTGCAAAATACCAGTTGTATTAGAAAACCGCAGGTCATCTTAGGGGGGGGGGTGCACACCCCCTGCACCCTCCCCCTAGATCCGCCCCTGAGAAACAATGATCTGTTATTACAGAATTTAGTAAACAAGTATGTCTTAAGTGATCTTTTGAAACTCGAGATGGTGTTGGAATTCCGAATTTCATAGAGTATTAAGTTCCATTCTCTTGGTGCATGAACAGTGCATGCTCTATCTCCGTAGGCCTTGGTATACAATCTAGGTCTTGGTCTTGGTATGAACTTCATTATAGCAAGGATCTGTCTTGAGTAATCTTGAGAAGTTTGACCTGGTAATGTAGCAGTTTTCTGGCAGTTTATACGGTGCGACTACTGTAACCCGGGGCTACTTAGACAAAGTTGACCAGTCAGATTACTGGGAAAAGTATCTGCTACATGTAAGTAAATATCAATTGCTTTCAAATTTTCCTTATTGATTCTACTCACCAGCGTAAGTTCTGATACACAGATTAATGCAATAATAAAGGCAAGAAATACATTTATGGCAGCAGGAGGAAAGTCCGGGAAAATCAATGAACTAATAAGCGTCTCCTGGAAAAGAAGGATAAAATATTATCATGTTTAGGACTGAAAAACTAAGGAACCAACAAGGCTTTACACGTGATATTTATTAGTCAATTACTCCGTGGTTTTGTTTTCCAGAATAATTTAAGCCAGTGACAAACTCTCTTTCAATCAGTAAAATTAGCTAGCAGCTGGCTCTTTAATAAAGCGGTATATCTGAATGCGACTCAAGATTTGAGTGGCTTGCATTATGAGACTCAAGAATAGGCCATTTTACAGTTATGGATGGCTGACGGTGACCTTGTTTTGATACAAACCTTCCTGCTTTACTATGTTAATCAAGTTATTCTTATGCTAACCAGTATTTTTTCAAGGACAATTTCCATAACAAAGCAAAGGAGGTTTGTATCAAAACAAGGCCACCCTCAGCCTCACATTCACCCGAAGGCTAGGGTACTAAGTCCACAACTGTAAAATGGTCTATCGCAAAACAAAATTATTGCTGACTTAACACATAAACTAGTGTAATACATTTACATTTTAATGGTTCATCTACTGATACAGTGTATGTTACTTGTATCTTTTGAAAAATGAGGATACAATACATGAGTGTTTTGCTTTTCTGGCCTAGGATAGTACTTACAGAAACTAAAATGACGGTAGCACCTCCAATGAAATAATTCAAGTATCGATCCTGCCAACACAGAGGAACAACAAGTCAATAAAAAGTAAAATTTAACAAACAACAGAAAACAATGTTAATGAGCAGGATGTGTTGAAGTATAGCCCGCATTACAAGCAACCTTTCACGAAAAGCGAAGAAAAAAAAGTTTAATAGCATAATTTTACAATTGCATCTAACATTCACAGTACGAAATTAATGTTATTGCTCTGGTAAAATAATTCTTCATAAATCTGAGGTCAACTCACATGTATGCCACTTATTTAGTAACACTGAAGTGGCAATTGACAACAAATTCTTGTATCAAATAATATAAACTACCAGTATAAAAAAATAAATTTGATAAATCGGCTTGTTTTCGTCAGAATTTCCCTACTTTACATGAGAAAATAAAGGTGCACACAAGTTTTGCTCAAATCACTAACTTCCAGTAAACAAAGAAATTATTACTATGAAAGGATATACTATTTAGCGGAATATCGATTCATAAGCTTACATGTAATTAGCCCCTTTGGCACAACAAACACTCTGGTATTTTTTTTGGCCCAGTTATTGGACGTCGATATAAAGTATGTACTCCCGTCACAATAAACGGTAACTTTTCGTTATTTTACCGGAGTTTTTTATTGCACGCAATTAGTCGTATGGCAAAAGCTCGTGACCTCTCTGTTAAACACTTCCGCGCATTTACGACTCCAAAACATTGCGAAATTGCACATACCCTGGGCCTTGCCTCGCCAAATAACGGCTTGTCCATTCCATCGTACATGCTTGGTTATAACATTGCAATATCATAAACACTTGGATGACACAGATATTCAATTGTTTGCAGGGTGACGAAATGCTGGACTGGCTAATCCAACGCAAGGTATCACCTGAACTTGATCAAACTTCTTCAAGCAGCCGGTAAAAATCTCTCAAATTTATGTACCGATCTTCACTAGAAATCACTGCCTTCGATCTTTTTCTCGTGTTGATTGGTTCTTAGAACACTCACGCGCTGTTTTCATTCACGTTTCCCTTTTCAACGTCGCGTTAAGAATTTCACGCGCCCACAGTAATTTTGCCCTGCACTTTCTTATGAGCGCATGTTCTTAAAAGTTCTCTCCGAATTCAAGATGGCCGCCTTCTCTCGGTCTTGTAACATGACATCGTTTTGCAGAAAATGCGCAGGCATAGCCAGAAGATCTTGGCTTCGATCTCCGCAGGTATATTTTATACTTGGATATTTATTTTATGGCTGTATTTACCAAACACAAACGTTGAGGCAGCGTGGAAATATCCAAAAGTTGGAATTCTTGAATGGACAGTGCAGAAATTGTGTTCGTGCGTGGCAAACTAGTAGACAAGCGGTAAAAAAAATTGCGTAAACAAGAGGCAGTTACTTCCAATTAGTCGATTTGCAGCTAAAATGCAATATATCCTGCCACTTCGAAGCTATAATATACGCCTTAATAAGTTGCAGGGTTATGTTTTTGATTGAAATTTCGACGTCTTCGATCTTCTTTTTGAGGGTCTCAGAGCTTGCCTAACCCTCAGTCAAGAAAAAGGGGGCGGGTAGGGGGTGAAGGGCGTGTTCACCATGTTCCTTTGATTTTCCTTTTTTTTCAAACACTTTTGAACGAAAAAAGCTGCTCTTCACTGGCTTGCCATTTTCGCCCATTTTTATCGACTACACATGGTGATGTTATGAAAAAGATAAGCTGATTAGAAATTTGCTGTCAAATGTCACATGTTTTGTCATTCTTTGAAGTCCAACAAGCCATTTTTTATATAATTAGATGTAGTCAGTGAACATGGCATAATGATGCTGAATAATTTATTAGGGTACGCTAATTATACAGCTGTACATGTTGAGATTTGTTTGAACTCGAGAAAATTGCATTCGCAGTGATTATAGTACATGACTGCTCCTTTTAATGTGCTGTTTATGTCTGTGACTAGAGGAAAAAAAATCATTATTTGTTTTAAACATGGCATCTAAATTTTGTCCAGTAAAGCCCTTTTCCCAAGTGGTAACTTTATTACCTCTCTGGCTAGGGAAGTAAGATCAAGTAAAGCCCACCTACCCCTCCCCTAAGCCAACATTAATGCTTACTTCTCTCTTAGGGCAAAATTGTGACTTAGGGGAGGGGTAGGTGGTCAGTTACCTAGAAACCTTAATAATTGATCCTGGAAAGATATATCTATGTACACTAGGCTTTCTTATTATTATTAATTTTTTGTGTAGGTTGGAGCTTCAAGTGTTGTGCCTGTAAGGTGGTTAAACCTTCAAGAATTCCAGAGCAAGAAATTAATGGCCGATAATGGTCTCCATGTGCAGAGATTCAAAGTTGCAGAAAATGCAAAAGAAGCTGTAGAAATTGCTAAGGAATTAAGTGAGTGAAATTTTTTTTAAATATAATTTTGTGTTTTTTGCAACAATAACAATGTAACTCGTGAAAGTGATTAAGCTGCTCATCCAGAGGGATAACCTGGAAGACAAATTTGTTTTAAGCTGTGAGACATTGTTTATTTTTATCTTCATTAGATGCAAAAGAGTTTGTTCTTAAGGCACAAATCCTGGCTGGTGGAAGAGGAAAAGGAAAGTTTACAAGCGGTCTGCAGGGTGGTGTGCATTTGACAACAGAGTAAGTAATAACAGCAAAAGTCAGTTACCCAGGCAATGTGCAAGATGCATGTAGATTGGAATTTGGTTAATTAACCCTGTAATTTCTATTACAAAAGAAGCAAGTGACATCAATTTTTGCCCAACAATATTAAAACCTTATCAAGAGAAAAGCCTGGTTACAAAAATTAATAAAATGATTGGCAAAGAGGAGATACTTTGATCATTTGTCCAATTCTTCTGATAAGTTCTTTAAAGAAATATATGAAAATCAGTTGGGAGAAATTGTCTTTAAAAATTGGGCTTGAATATACTGGTGAAACAAAGAGTGGAATTGACCCTGGATTTGAAGTGATTTTTTTAATTAAGAGCACCTTTCATACAATGAATAATACATGATTAATTATTATTCATGTATAGTAAACATCTTAATCTTAATAATTTCTTTCGAAGTATGAGCTCATCAATAATAATACTTAATGTAATCTTGTGTAAACTTATTTTCAACTGTTTTTTTTAGTCCGAACAAAGTTGGTGAACTAACAGAACAGATGGTAGGCTATAATTTAACCACAAAACAGACACCTGAAGATGGAGTCCTGGTGAACAAGGTGAATGAGTTATTTTGTTTATAATTTTCTTTGTTATTTCAAGTAGTCAAGTCAGTCAAGTGTAAGAGGAGGTAAGCTTGTAAGGAATATACAGATATATTGGATCAAAAAAGAAACAAGAAATCGAATTTGACATTTTTGTGATGTGAAGAATTATGCAGATCCCAGAGGCTGCTATCTACCTTGTCTGATAACATTTTCCTTGATCTGCTTGATTCTGCACATCATACAAAAGCTGAATTCAATGATAATAATATTATTATTCATTCAAAACATTTCTCCATTTGTTATTGGCTGAAATCCCCTGGCTAAAATAATAATGTTCATAACCAGCTAGCATTGTCTAAATTTGGAAGACTGTTGTGATAATTGTGGGAAATGATGTCAATAGTACAGCATTAATGCCAGAAAAATTTATGGCAACCAAGGAGCCCTTGGGATGAGGTGCTATCCGCCCAGGCCAATTAATCAGGCTAATCAGCTTCAATGGATAACACTTTCCTTGATCTCCATAATGCTTCACATCATACTTAGCCTCATTCAATACATGTAATTGTTAAAAATTACTGTAAAATTCCAAAAATAAGCCCCTCCATGTATAAGCCCGTCCAAGTATAAGCCCCCCAAACCGGTAACACAGAAAACCCTCCATTAAATCGCCCCTCCAAACATAAGCCCCCCGGAGCCGTGTTCTTGGAAAATTGCCCTCAAATACAAGGCAAAAATTGTAAATTAACTTCCAACTATAAGACTAGCCCAGTCGATTTTGAAACGCAAATTTCCCTCCATAGATAAGCCCCTCCAAACATAAGCCCCTCAAAAAGAGTCTTTGAAAAATATAAGCCCCGGGGCTTATTTTCAGAATTTTACGGTATTCTAGGATAGGGATGAAAAATGGTTTCTTTGCCTTACTTTGTCCATTGTATGACTTGTTTCTAATCAGGTGATGGTTGCAGAGAGTTATGACATTGCCCGGGAGACATACCTTGCTATACTGATGGACAGAGCATTCCAAGGACCTGTGATAGTCGCAAGTCCAAAAGGAGGAATGGACATTGAAGAAGTAGCAAAGACCACTCCTGAACATATACACAAGGTAATTTCACATGTGTGTGAAAGAGATATGCTACAGTTATTGATTAAGCGGCCAGTTTAGATAAGATAATGGGGAGCTTAATGAATGGCCATGAAAACAACAGCAATGAGAAGATCAAAAATTATGGTTGTATAAGCAAAAAACATCTTTGCACTTGTATTATCCTTTTTGGTACATTTCTTTGAGATCCAATGCACGACTTTGAAGTGAAATGTGATGCTTTTGGAGAATGTGAACATATAATGATGAATTTTCCTTGTCTTTCTGAATAAAGTTACCGCTTTGGAGAATCCAACTCCAGGAAAATTTGCCTGCATTTAGAAATTTTTTAGAGCTTAAGTAAAAGCAATGAGTTTGATAAAAAGCAAATTCATTTTTAATGCTATGTTCATTGCCATTACCCTCGTAGTTACTTAGCCGTCTAATTATTGTTTTATGTTGAGGCGAGTTGTCATGACAACAATCCCAGGAACTGTTCCCCTGTGGGACAAAATTTAGCCTGTGAGTGATCTCTCTATTTGGGGAAGTTGCGAGAAGTCACCCGAAAGCTGCACGCGAAAGGAGACGCTTGTGCTTCGCCGCTTGCTCGCGCGTTCTCTCGAGGCACACTTCCTCGCAGGCTAGACAAAAATAATATAGCTTAACAACTGTACAAAGACGTTACAGAACTTCTTTGATTATTTGTGTAATCCAGTGCAAGGACAGAATGACACTGTTTAGGACTAAACTACGTGTAAATAAGGAACAGAACAACAAAGGAGAAGACGGTGAAAATACCTAGAAGTCAGCATTAGCATGAAGTGTGCAGGTTTTTGTTAATTAATCATAAGCATGATAAGATTTCTTTGTATAATAGTTTATTCATTTTTGTTATTACATTGTCTCTTAACAGTTAGCTGTTGACATTTTCAAAGGAATTCCTGATGTAGATGCCAGATATCTTGCAGACAAATTAGAATTTAAAGGACCAATGTTAGAACAGGTAATAAAGAATGTAATGTAGAAAGTAGCATGGAATGACGTTAGAACCTTCTAAGAAAGCTAATACAATGAAATAATGAATGTATGAGGTCCCCGGTCGTTTCGATACAAGTCGCTTTGATACAAGTTTATTCGTTTTGAGGTGTAAATAGTTCCATGTACTTGGCTTAAACAACGAAGATATGCAAAATAGCGAAAGACGCTTTCAGAATTGTGCTTTACGTTACAACTTTTTACATACAGCATTGCGCTGTTGCTCATTTCGTTTTAAAACAGTAATTTGTCTGTAGCAGAGATGTACAATGTTGTATGCAACTGAAAGACAGTACAGTGGCGGATGCAGGGGAGGGGCCCAGGGGCCCTGCCCCCCCTTATTTTTAGACTAAACTGAGACACGAAGGGCGGAATAAAAATTTTGAGTCCGCCTCCCCCCCTTAGTCAGGGTCTGGATGACCGGGCACCCAGTTATCTGAAGACCTGGATCCGCCCCTGCAGTAACTTTAAATGCAGTTTAATGACGAGTGTGAGCCTGGTTTTTGCTACTGAACACTTAAAACTGTCAGTGGAGTCATAACAGTAATGTCATCATAGTGAGCTCTTTTAAACGAACACCTCTCTAATACGGACATTTTGCTTTGTCCCTTCGGTGTCCTTATTAGAGAGGTTCAACTGTAAATTAATACGGAAAAACAAAAAGGATACGCAGTCATTCTCTCTGATTACTTTAATTAAATGCTAGCTGGTACCTTTCGAAGCAATGCAGGCTAACAATTTTTTCGTGGGCTTCTGTCTCAATACATTTCTAGACTTTCTCGATCCGCAGGAAAAGTTCGCGACTTCCGCGGTTTGTGTCACTAAATTGTCCCTAGCGGCAAAGGTAGCCTTCATTCGTAAAATTCTTTTTTTTCTTTGAGGTGTTTAAAATGTGCACCTCTGGTGCATATTTTTGGCCTTACCGGTCAAGAATGGTCCCATACCTGCTGTGCTAAAATTTAGGGAGAACACTGTACAAGCCTGAGTAAGTTTTTTCATCTGATGTTTTTGTCCCCTTCATATTTCACAGGCAGCTGAGCAGATCAAGTTGCTTTACAAACTCTTCCTTAAAGTCGATGCAACACAGGTGGAAATCAATCCTTTTGGAGAAACACCCGATGGAAAAGGTATTTGAACACAGTGTTGGAGATTTGCCTCTTAAGCTTCACTCAAAGATCCGCGTCGTATTTTTCCCTTTAAACTTATTGCATTACATAAGTGTGGGAAAGGTGTCTGTAACGTCTGTGCGAGCCGCAAGCGAGCGCAGAAGGTAACATGACAACGCTGTGAACGGCAAACTCCAGGCTTCATCACGTTGAATTCCTAGGTGGAAACATTTGATGCTTACCAAAAGAAATCCAGAGGGAAGGGAGGGTCGGTAACAAAAAGGCTTTTAGCAATCGAACGTACAGGCAACATGATTAAAATGACTTGACCGCAATGGGAGAGCTGTAAATTTACTGAAGTTATGAGATCTCCCTGGGACCACCCCGCATACATTGGGGAGTTAGAGGAAGGACAAGCGTTTTTGAGCGACGGACGTCATCCAGAAGTGAGGCCTTTTCCAGTTTTTGTGTCTTGACGTTATCATATTTAGTAAAATCCAACTGGTTGTCTATTATCAATGCTGCATCCTGATTGGTTGAGTTACTACTAGGCTATATGTTATAGTTCCCTAGTAGCGAAAACCGCGGGCTTTTTGGCGGCAAAAAAGGCTTAAAGTCTAGCTTTTAACTAAAAAAAAATTATTCCCGATGTTTTTTACCAACTAGTTGGATTTTACTAAAACAATTATTCCTCTCGCCCTCATAGCCTCTGACTCAATAGCCCGCTGGGGCTCGATGAATAATTGTTAATTATACCGTTGAGTGTCTTTACTTTAAAAGAAACGATTTTTCCGGAAATTTGAGCAAAAGCACTGCCAAAAAATGCAAAGAAAATCCCCTTCTGGTCGTTGTCCGTCGCTGACGCGGTTAGGTGGGTAGTATGAAAGGGTAAAAGGAAAGTGTTTTGTTTCATTCTTTAAGTTGTGTGCTTCGACGCCAAGTTTAACTTCGATGACAGCGCCAAGTTCCGGCAGAGAGAAGTGTTTGCTATGGAAGATCACAGCGAGAGTGACCCTCGTGAAGTGGAAGCTGGAAAATATGACCTCAATTATATCGGCCTGGATGGAAATATTGCTTGTCTTGGTAAGAATGTAATATCGGTGGCTGTAAAGAATGCTCATTGATATATAATGAGCGAACGTTGCTTCAGGCCATTCGTGTTATTTACTCAGGGATTTGGGGTTAGGGTGGGGTTCTTGAATAAGCGCTTGGCAAGTGTGACGATGTTGATGATGATGATGATGATGTTGATGATGATGATGACGATGACGATGACGATGACGATGATGATGGTTGTGGTAAAGGTGTCTGTATTAAGAGGGGTCATGTTATTTAAGTTGCGGGTTAGAGCCGGGGACGTTACTTTCCTTGCTAGGCAGGCTTGTCGTTCGCAGGGGTGAGTAGGATGAGTACAGCAGTTACTTTTATCTTCCTACTAACTCCCTTCTTTAGTGAATGGTGCTGGATTAGCAATGGCAACTATGGACATTATCAAACTTCACGGGGGTACCCCGGCTAATTTTCTGGACCTCGGGGGAGGAGTACAAGAAGAAGGAGTGTTTCAAGCTTTCAACATTGTGACAAAGGATCCGCGGGTAAGCATAAGACCAGATAACCCCCTAGAGTTAATAGTGAAGTCTTTTATGATGGTTTCATCTCTTGAGTTTTTTTTATGGAATCTTACGTTGTGACCATTCAAATGAAAGCTACTGAGCAGTACTTTCCTGTGGTACTGTTTATTATGCTGTACAAGGTGGTTCTAACTTTTGAGTCTTTGGATGAAATCCTATTGCGTGACCATTCAAATGAAAGCTACTGAGCAGTACTTTCCTGTGGTACTGTTTATTATGCTGTACAAGGTGGTTCTAACTTTTGAGTCTGTGGATGAAATCCTATTGTGTGACCATTCAAATGAAAGCTACTGAGCAGTATTTTCCTGTGGTACTGTTTATTATGCTGTACAAGGTGGTTCTAACTTTTGAGTCTGTGGATGAAATCCTATTGTGTGACCATTTAAATGAAAGCTACTGAGCAGTACTTTACAGCGGTACTGTTTACTGTGCTGTACAAAGTGGATCTACTTTCACGTCTGTGAATAAAATTCCTGCAGTATGACCATTCAAATAAAACGTCCCTTTAGCCGCTCTTTCAAACAGCGCCCTTTATTTTAGAGCATTATTTTTTCACAAAATGAAATTAAGAAATTGTATCGAACTGCTACCGCTGCTATTGTATGCTCCACGCTGCACGACCTGAGTAAGTATTTAAAATAATTTTTTTCTCCAATACTCTTTAATGTTGTTGCTTTGCCACTGTTTTCGCTGACAGGTCAAGTCAATAATGGTGAATATATTTGGTGGAATCGTTGATTGCTCAATTGTCGCCAATGGAATAACTTCTGCTTACAAAAGGCTGAATGTACAAGTTCCTGTCATAGTGAGGTTAGAAGGTAAGTGTGAATTAGATAAATAGATACTTTTTTCACAGGTAATGTACGCGTGTTGTTTGATTTGAAAACGGGTTTGTTTTTGAAGGCGTGGAGAAAGACTGGGGAGAGTCTGAAGACGCTAAAATAACATCTGGGGGAGGGAGACGGGGGGTTAGCGGGCGTTATTTAAAAGGTGGATAACACTTATTTCTTGTATGTCTAGTGAAAAGGAAACGTAAATGTTAAAATATGATCGTGACTGACTCAGCTAAGCGTTGTGCGACGATGTCTAGGGGCTTAAGCTTCAGAAATAATTATATCACCCCACTTGTAACAAAATGGCAGGATACTTTGCTTGGTGACAGTCTTTGAAAGTCTAAAAGGACGATTTGCCGCGCATTTGTATCACGAGCTGATTTAACCGAAATTGATGGTAAACAGTTTATGACTTATCTCCCTAATTGTTCTGTGAAAATATGGTGTAGGTATTGCACAAAGATTTCCAACACGGACCAGTGCCATGGCATACAGCTAAACCTTGTCATGACCATTAAGTATTTGATAATTAGGTGAAATGGTCTTACCTTGCTTTTAAGTGGATCATAAGTTTGTATTCAAAGAGGACAGACGGCAAACTGTTGTTGCTCGAAATATGGTAGAGTCTTTCTAAGTAGCTACGACATTAAGGTTTCCACCCGTCTATTTTGTTCCTTGAACCAGCGTGTTTACAGGTATACAAAACAAAACATGAATCCCAACAAGTCACCTTATTGTCATTTTTGTTCTGATTTCTAGGAACGAACGTGGAAAAAGCTAAACACATTCTAACCGAGAGCGGGATGCCGCTGATCCCTGCAGATGACATGGATGACGCAGCTAGGAAAGCCGTGATTAGTCTGGTTGACTGATGCTATGGATGTCGATGGAACACAGAACGAACCTGGTCCAACGGACTTTCAAAACATAGCGTTTGTGTGCCAGTTAGACCTTAAAAGCCCTGAACAGCTATCGGAGTGGGTCTTTTTAAATTAGCACTGGTATATAATTATTAGGGGGTGAAGCGAAGTGAAGTGAAGTGGGTACTTTGTCTTTTCATGAATTATGCGGTGAAAATTATAAGCAAACAAACTTAGCTAAAAAAAGTCTTGATGCAATATCAACATGATTTAAAAAGCACGTTATGGTGCAGCGTCCTTCATAATACTGAACAAATTTGCCCTGCCGCAAGAAATACCGGTCACTAAGGCCATATTTAAACTAAAATGGATAACATTTATGCCATCTCGAAAACCTTACCGGATTGGCATTTTGTTCATACAAGAAGCGTCAGTTTGGGCACGATTTTTGTGGCTCAGCTGATTTCTGTTGCTACGCAACGAAGCTCTCGTGAAAGTGATTATGCTGTTTGTACCGTGTCGGTTTTAAGCTGCTTTCTATCGTGGCTGTTTACACATTAGTGCTGTGCACAAAAATAATTATTGATCCTGTAAAGTGTGAACTAAGACTCGATCTACCATTGGTTGTTTCTCCCCATACAGTCGCGAATTCGTCAACCTCGTTCCCAGGTTCTCTCTCCTACCTATTCTCTCTCGGTCCTTAGCGACGGGTAGTAGAGAACCCTGGGAACGAGGTTAGCGTATTCGCCACTTTTGTAACAAGAAGGGGACTAGAAGACCGCAATTGTTTCTGGAATCGTTACTGGGGACGCGCCTGTCAGCTGATTTAGCAACAGAACGGTAACGTCAGTTAACGACGGCACGCCCAGAATAAAGAACAACCTTGACCAATGGGAGAGCCGCAAATTGGACTCTGGAAGTCGCGTTAAGTCCGTTCCGCGTGCTTTCCTAATGTCAACTGACGTTCCCGTCCTGTTGATAAATCAGCCTAATTGGTCAATTTTTCCGCTCCTTTTAACAGTCCTAGAATTCTTTGCGAACATAAACTCGGCCCTCTCGTTTTTAAAGTGGGAAGTGCACAAGTTTCAAAAGCTCCAATAATTGGAGTTTATTTAAAAAGTTTAGCTAAAAGAGTTTTCAAAGTTCTTCTCTGGTCGATGTAACTTTGAATTATTACACTTAGGAACCATATTGAATTTTTCTCATGAGGCTCTGATTTTTCCATGACGTTAAAAATTTCATAGTGAATAATTAGCAAAATCAAACATAAATACATTTTTACTAAACTGCTTGGTTTATTCCCTTCTAAGTCCTTCGACCGTGTCTTGCGAGAAAGAATAAAACTTAATCTCCAAACTCAAACTCCAATCCTGTTCCTTTTATCTTAGAAAATAGCCTCTCATCAAACTGTCTGTTTAATTCTTCGCTGAAGTGACTCCTCCACCCTCCAACTTCACCTTTGCGAAGAAAACTTGGTTTAGAAGGATTATTATCAACTTTAAAATTGGCGGCGTTTTTCTTCATTTCACCAAACGTGCATTGATGGGCAATTCGGGCGATCATATCTTCAGGGAGGTTGATTCCGAGAAACTTGCTGATTCGTTCAACATTACTGTATAGGTCCTATAACAGATTCCAGTACAAATATGAAATGAATAAATAAATAATTACATAGACAAATAAATAACAATATAATAGCAATAGTGATGTGGAGTTGGTGATGATGATGGTGGTGGTGATGATGGTGGTGGTGGTGGTGGTGGTGCTGCTGCTGCTGATGATGATGATGATGAAGACGACGATAATGATGATGATGATAAAGATGATGATGATAATGGTG